TTCTTTATATTTTTATAGCGCTTAGCGATATTTAGAAATTTGCATGTATGCATGTGTGTGAAAGATTTAAGGATTTTCAAAATACATATATATAATTTTGTTCTCCACAAATTGATAATGCAACTAGTTAAATACGGTTAAAGCGCTTTCAGGGGCAGGACCTAGTATGGAAGATATGACCAATTATAGACTGATCGTAAAAAATTCTTTAAGCAAAATTTCTGTACATAAAAGCTATGTTTCAGTAAAATTTTGTATCTATATCGTAATTCAGTAATAAGTAATGTGTGTTTAAGTGATTTTCTGAAGGGAACCTTGTATGGGACCATACAATGTTATGAACCGATCATGAAAATATCTTGAAATAGAATTTTTGTATACAAAACTAATATTTGTGCCAAATTTTGTATCAATAGCTTGACTTGGTAATGAGTAATGTGCGTTTAACAGATTTTCGTAAAAGGACCTTGTATGGGAGCTATGACCAATTATGTATATAAAGAAAAAATTTCAAAATTCTGTATCCATATCATTATTTGGTAATGAATATTGAGCATTTAAGTGATTTTCAGGAAGAGACCTAGTATGAGAGCTATGACCAAATATGGGCCGAACGTAAAACAATTTTATAGTGTAATTTATGTATATAAGAGCAATATTTGTGCTAAATGTATGGATATCTTATTTAAGTAATGAGTTATGCGCGTTTAAAATTAAAATTTCACAGTAATATTTCTGTGCATATGAGTAATATTTGTACCAAATTGTATATGGATATCTTAATTTAGTAATGAGTTATGCACGTTTAAGTGATTTTCGGGAGGGGACCTTGTATGGGAGCTATGACCAATTATGGACCGATCGGAAAAACTTTCACAGTAATATTTCTATGCATATGGACAATACTTGTACCAAATTTGATATGGATATCTTAATTTAGTAATGAGTTATGCACGTTTAAGTGATTTTCGGGAGGGGAGCTATGACCAATTATGGACCGATCGGAAAAACTTTCACAGTAATATTTCTATGCATATGGACAATACTTGTACCAAATTTGATATGGATATCTTATTTAAGTAATGAGTTATGCGCGTTTAAGTGATTTTGGGGAGGGGACCTTATATGGGAGCTATGACCAATTTTGGACCGATCGGAAACAACTTTCACAGTAATATTTCTATGCATATGAGCAATACTTATACCAAATTTTATATGGATATCTTAATTTAGTAATGAGTTATGCGTGTTTAAGTGATTTTCGGGAGGGGACCTTGTATGGGAGCTATGACCAATTTTGGACCGATCGGAAAAAAATTTCACAGTAATATTTCTGTGCATATGAGTAAGATTTGTACCAAATTTTATATGGATATCTTAATTTAGTAATGAGTTATGCGCGTTTAAGTGATTTTCGGGAGGGGACCTTGTATGGGAGCTATGACCAATTTTGGACCAATCGGAAAAAAATTTCACAGTAATATTTCTGTGCATATGAATAATACTTGTACCAAATTTTAAATGGATATCTTAATTTAGTAATGAGTTATGCGCGTTTAAGTGATTTTCGGGAGGGGACCTTGTATGGGAACTATGACCAATTATGGACCGATCGGAAAAAACTTTCGCAGTAATATTTCTATGCATATGAGCAATACTTATACCAAATTTTATATGGATATCTTAATTTAGTAATGAGTTATGCGCGTTTAAGTGATTTTCGGGAGGGGACCTTGTTTGGGAGCTATGTCCAATTATGGACCAATGCAAAAAGTGTTTTCTCTGTATGAATTCTATTGACGTAAGACTTTAATTTGCAAAGTTTTGTGAAGATGTCGACATTGTGGCGGAAGTTATTAACAAAAAACCCATTTTACGGGAATATGTACTTTTGTATGGGAGGTATATGAAATTTTGGACCGATGCTAACAATTTTTAGCAGGGATCAAGATCTTGTGTAGAAACTTATGTATGGTGATTTTCATGAATTTATCTTGCATGGTTTACGAGAAATTTACATCAGAATGTGTAAAAAATGCTTATTTTTTTCGAGGTTGTTTTAAATTTTGATTCATAACTCTTCCCGGTGTGAACCGATTTTGTTCATTTTCAATACCAAACTGCTTAGGACAACAATGAATATTTTTGGTGAATTTGGTTTACTTCCTTTGCTTCGTTTTAACGTGAGCGTGTTTTAGGCAGACAGACAGACAGACAGACGGACAGACGGACAGACGGACATAGCTAAATCGACTCAGAATTTGATAAGGACCCAGAATATATATACTTTGTTGGGTCTCAGATGAATATTTCTTGGTGTTACACACGGAATGACAAAGTTATATATACCCTCTATCACCACTGATGGTGGTGGAGGGTATAAAAATTCCTATCCAAAACTCATGTCCAACCGGAATCTATGATCGATGACACGGGCAGGAGGCTTGAGGATATGGAGGAGACAATGAAACTCCTAATGGATTCTCATTTCCCACCCGGTATATCGAATAACATAGATGAACCGATATTGGAGGAAGGGGAGGGTAACACGGAAATAGTTATTACAACTGACATGGTGAAAGGGGCAATCAAGAGCTTTGCTCCCTATAAAGCTGCAGGGCCGGATGGAATTTTCCCGGCACTTTTGCAGATGGAGGCGGGACTGGTTTCCGTACATCTGTCACAGATATTCACTGCATGCTTAAAATTGGCATATACCCCAGTTAAATGGCAGGATGCAAGGGTAATATTTATACCCAAACCAGGGAAACCTAGCTATGCGACACCTAAGTCCTATCGACCGATAAGTCTTACGTCCTTCCTACTTAAAACCTTGGAACGGATAGTCGATAGCATGGTTAAAAGCAGCATACCATACAATGACCTTAAATATAAGCAGCATGCTTATGTAAAGGGACGATCGGTGGAAACCGCTTTAAATGAAGTTGTCCACTACATAGGTGAATCTTTCGATAGCAAACTGTATACACTGGCAGTATGCATTGACATCGAAGGCGCTTTCAATAACGTGCACACTGATACCCTTATCCAATCCCTAGACCAGTTTTATGTTGACCGGGTGCTCCGTAACTGGATCAACTACATGCTAAGGAACAGATGGATAAGCTGCGAGATGTACGATATAACTATCAAGAAAAAGGTATTTCGCGGTATACCACAGGGTGGCATTTTGTCACCTTTACTCTGGGTCACCACGATTAATAGCCTCCTAAGGACCCTAACCGAGAAAGGACTTAGACCTGTCTGCTATGCAGACGATGTCGTAATACTTTTAAAGGGAAAGGATCCAAATTACTTGTGTAGAAGAGCTGAGGAGGCTCTGAATACGGCCTTGAGCTGGGCTCAACCGAGAGGCCTCAATGTTAACCCGGCGAAGACGGAAATCTGTCTTTTCACAAGAAAGACAAAAATTTCTACATATACTGAACCTTGCTTCTTGGGCAAGAAGATACCGGTGACAGACAAAGTTAAGTACTTAGGTGTAATACTTGACCGGAAATTAAAATGGAGACACCACATAGAGGATAGGATCAACAAGGCACATCGGTGCTGGGCGATATGTAGGAGAACCATAGGCATGAAATGGGGTCTTAGTCCTACTATGACAAATTGGCTTTATAAAAGTGTAATTAGACCAATTCTAGCTTATGCTTCAATAATCTGGTGGACTGCTTTGGACAAAAAGTGTTATATCAAACTACTACAGGGAGTTCAGCGTACATGCTGCTTGGGTATAAGTGGTGCCATGTGTACTACTTCAACCAAGGCTCTGGAAACGTTGCTAGATATTCCACCCATTGAAACATATATAAGATATGAGGCGGCGCTTACAGCCGAACGGCTCTTTACTTTAGGCGAACTGGCCAAAAACGGTTATAGGACACGTCATCAATGTATACTGGACACATTGGAAGGTTATACACATTCATCGGACGTGCCTGATCGCATACCAGACACTGAATATGTCGGAAACTTTGAAACGCTAATCCCAGATAGAATGTCTTGGTCAAGCGGAACATTAGAGCAAATACCAGTAGGAATCCGTTGCTACACGGATGGCTCTAAATTAGGGGACAAAGTGGGTCTGGGGTTCTATATTGAAGACCCAGAAACAGAAATATACCACCGTTTACCTAATCATAACACAAGCTTCCAGGCAGAAGTACGAGCAATAACGGAATGTGTAAATTGGATTAGAATAAATATGGCGCCCACAGGGCTTAATATATTTACCGACAGCCAGAAGGCAATTTGTGCGATATCAGGTGATAGAATTAAATCTAAGACCGTATTGGATTGTAAGAAAGCTTTAACTGAATACTCTCCCAGAGGTAAGGTTCACATCATATGGGTACCAGGCCACTCGGGAGTAATCGGCAACGAAAGGGCGAATGTAATAGCTTTAAAGGGAAGGGAGCTCGATGTAGTTAACCTGACAAACGCAAAACCATTCGACGCAACAAAAGCTGAATTAAAAATATGGATGAGAGAATCCCATAAGGCCTCTTGGAATAATGAAACGGTGGGTAGAACCACAAAGATTCTATGGGGTGACCCTGATGAGAGCAAGACGAGAAATCTTCTCAAAATGAGCAAGTCTGAGGTTAGTATGATGGTACGTATTCTCAGTGGACACACAGGATTACGAGCACATCTATACAAAATTGGACGTGCGAATTCAGACGAATGTAGAGCATGTGGAGAGGACAGTGAAACTCTGGAGCACTTTCTTTGCCATTGTCAGACATTCGTCGAAGTTAGATCCAAGTATCTTGGAAGTGATGTTATTCCGGAAATAACATTCTTAACCAACACCGATTGGAAGATTCTTAGGAATTACGTCCAAGAAACTGAGTTTCTGAACATTCAGTAAACAATTTTTTTTTTTTTTCTTGAATTGGAGCGCACAACAGGCCCGATAGTGGCCTAGGTGTATTTCTTCGGATTTGATGTAGTATACATCCTCCTATCAACCTAACCTAACCTAACCTATGCGATGACAAGCCATTTACAAATATAAGGCATTTAAAATTAGCTTCATCTGTTTGAACTACAGGATCTGTTGTTGAATTACTAGTCGATGCACCTTCTTCTAATGTTGACGTTAACTTTTCTAAAGTTGTCGGTAGACTATTCACGTTTGTTGAACCAGATGGTGAAGTAACTAGAAGTGGATCTTGAACAGGTTGCAATTCATCTGTAGATGTAGTCTGTCCATCAGTGAGTGGTACATATTCAAATTCATTGTCTCTCATATTTTGATCTCTAGGAGGAGTCTGTTGAGCTGTTAAATTGAAATATGTAATCAAATAAAACATCATTAGCTGCTATGTTCTCAGATTCAGAATAACGAGGTCTTAGTTGGTTTGTATGAGATCTAACTGCACGAAATTCAGGAATGTTTTCGATTTCGACTTCGTAATTGACATTTCCGAGTTTTCGTTTGATAATACCTGGGAACCATTCAGATTTATTTAATTTGTATAATTTTGCGTAAACTTTCTGACCAATATTGTATATCCGCTCTTTAGCACCATTACGTTTGTTATATTGTTCTTCCATTTTCTCGTTTCGTTGTAATTGGGATTCTGTTGGTTTTTTAAGTAGATCAAGATTAATCCTTATTTTTCTCCCCACGAACAATTCAGAAGGCGATTTGCCACCAGAGCTAGGATTTGGTGAAGAACGATAACATTTTAAAAATGTTTGTAGATTTTCACTAGCAGTGCCCATTCCTTCGAGTTTTTTCAAAGCGCGCTTTAAAGTGTCAACGAACCTTTCTGCCTGACCATTTGATTGAGGGTGGTATGGAGCTGTGAATTTGTGTAAAATACCATTTTCTTGACAAAACTTGAAAAACATGCTGCTGGAGAACTGAGTTCCATTATCACTCACTATTAATTCAGGGTTTCCAAACAATGAAGTGAAATCGCGCATACAATTTATAATTGAATTTGAAGAAATCGATTTAATTTGATAAATTTGTGGCCACTTCGAAAATGAATCTACTATTACGAAATAATAAAAATTATCAACAGGACCGGCTATATCTATATGAACTCTTTCCATAGGTTGTTTTGTTAATGGCCATGAATAAAGTGAAGTTTTTGGTAACGATTTTGCTACTGAAGAGCATTTGGTACAATTCTGTACATACCTTTTAATTTCATCATCCATATGGGGCCAATAAACATAACTGCGAGCCAGTGCCTTTGTCCTCTCGATACCATGATGACCTTTGTGTAATTCTTTTAGAATGCGTTTTCTAAAAACAGCTGGGTATTATAATACGCTCCCCGTACATAACACAATCATCAACAATACTTAAATCTTGTTTTCTCGAAAAATAACACTGAATATCAGAAGATTTTTCATTTGGCCACTTACCAGTTTGTAAGAATTTTATAAGATCTTGGAGATTTGAATCCTTTTTAGTTGCAGCACAAATCATGTTGAATGTTAACGGCAAGGCATTTGTGATATCGTTAATTACCTTTTTGATGTCATCTTCCAATTGAATACAAGCGATGATAGTGTCTTCGTTTGGTTTTGGTACATTAAAAATTAGACGAGATAAAATATCAGCTGCTCCGAATTCATGAGTTGAAATGTATTGCAAAGTAAAATCGTATGACATGAGTGTAAGAGCCCATCGCTGGAGACGGTTTGCAGAATGTGCCGGAATTCCTTTTTTATTTCCAAAAATTGAAAGCAGGGGCTTCTGATCCGTTTGAAGAATAAATTTTCTTACAAATAAATATTTATGGAATTTATTTACCGCGAAAACCAGCGCCAATCCTTCCTTTTCAATTTGAGAGTAATTTTGCTCAGCTGGAGTGAGAGAGAAAACATGACAGATGTATGCACCCAGTCCAACGTTTGAGGCGTCAGCTGCTACTTTGATAGGAAGCTTTGGATCAAAGTGAGTAAGCAACAAATCAGATGACAGAAGCTGTTTAAACCGTTCAAAACTGCGTTGACATGAAGATGACCAACTCCATGCTGTGTTTTTCTTGAGTAAATTATCCAAAGGATCTCTAAGCATTCTCATTTCATGTAGAAATTTACCGTAGTAGTTAATTTATTTTTATCTGGATAAACGCCTTTTTTGTCGAAATGGTAACCAAGGTATGTACACGAAGTTTTAAAAAATTTGCATTTTTCAAAATTCACTGTAATGTTGTATTTTTTTAAACTTTCAAATACCTGTTTTACAGCTGCTATATTTTCTTCGCGTGTTGGTGTAGCTACAATAACATCGTCCAGATAAGGAAAAACGCCTTTAATACCAGAAATAATTGATTCCATACACTGTTGAAAAGCACCAGGAGCCGATCTCACACCTGGGCTAAGCCGATTAAAAGTGTACAAGCCACGATGAGTGTTAATAACTAGTAGTTTTTTCGTGTCATCGTCGACTTCTATTTGCATGTAGGCATTATTTAAATCAATTATTGAAAATATTGAACAGTTGTTAAAATTTATAAAAATTTCATCTGGAAGAGGTAGTGGAAACGTGTGAGGTTCTAGCTGATCATTTAGTCCAGTGGAGTAATCCCCACAAATACGTAGATTACCAGAAGCCTTTTTCACCACCACAATGGGTGCAGCCCATTCAGAAAAATTTATTGGTGAAATGATACCTTCACGTTCAAGTTTTTGAATTTCACTGTCTAGTTGATCTTTTGCTGCATACGCTACTTGCCTTTTAGGACGAAAAACAGGAACGACTTGTGGTTTAATTTGTGGGTGAACTTTAAAATGAGTGCAGTGTCCAATTTCATTCCTAAAAACTTCTGGGTATGTTTTACGCAATTCAGATTCTGTGAGTGTGTTGTTAACTTGAAGTTGTTTACACGATGTATACGAATCAATTGGTTGGTTCCACAATTTAAATTGTTCCATTAAGTCAGAACCGAAAAGATTCAAATCGGGAAGTGATGATACCAAAATGTTGCAAGTTTGGTTTTGATTATTGATAACTACTGTACACTGAAACTGACCTATTATGTTAATTTCATTTGTAGAAGCATCTCTTGGCTTGTGCTGAGAAATTTTTAAAGTTGGTTTACCAATTTTTACCCAGTTCTTCTTTGAGATGATCGTGACATCCGAACCAGTATCATGTTGAAGAGAGAGATTTACATTGTTAATTTGTAGTGAAATGTATCGTCTATTTTTACATGCTGCTGTGGTTGCATATACGCTTTTTATTGTTTTACGCGTTTTCTTGAAATTACTTTTATTTTGATGTTGCTGATTATTTTTGCTTATATTTGGCTTTTTATCTGGAAAGCATGAGCAAAATCCTTCCTTATGTCCAACTTTACCACACTGTGAGCATTTGTGTGTTGTATAACCACAATCCCGGACAAAATGCATATTTCCACATTGCCAGCACGATCGCCTTGGCTTTAGGTCTTTATTAGCATTCTGTGGTGTACGTTGCTTGGAACTATGAACTATGTTGACATTTGGATTTTCCTTTGTTGAAACATCGCGTTTAAGACTGTTGATTCGTTCTACTTCAGCGACTAAATTATCCAAATTCAACTGATTTTGTTCAGTTTCTGACTCTAGTAGAGTCAAAAGTCTCGCTTTATATTCTTGATCCTTATGCGATGACAAGCCATTTACAAGTATAAGGCATTTAAAATTATCAGCAGTACATGTATTTATTAAAAAATTTTCACAATGGCGATTTACTTTGGCGGCGTAACTGATTATGTCTTCGTCTTCTTTTTTTACATTTGTTATACATTTTACACGAGTACTGAATAGACTCTCTTTCCTTCCAAAAAGTTTTTTCAAGATGTCCACTGTTTGTTGGAATGTGACGTCACTAGGTTGTTTTGGAAGTAAATAGTCTTTGTATTTGTTAAATACGCCATTACTAACCTTTCTCAACAATAACCTCACTTTTGCTGCATCATCAAGTTGATCTGCTTCAACCTGGAAAACATCTTCATAGCGCTCGTACCAAGTGCCGAAAATCTGGTTTTCTTCAGGTTCGTAGGTAAACTCACGTATACTTTTCGATAAAATGTCCATCAAGGCTTCTGGGGCAGTTACACTTGCAGAAGGTGTTGTTGACCCACTTACATTACTTGCCGTTGATCCTTGTGTAGCAATAATCAGTCTTTCCATTAGTTGGTGTTGTTTTTCCATAGCCTCTTGTTGACGCGCTAGGAGTTGTCCAACCACTTGTTCCAAAGAAGTCATTGTGTTTATTAATTTCACTCACAACAAAAAAATAAAACGATCGTGTTTTTTTTATATTGCAATGTCGTTGCAATTTTTTTTTATGTTTAAAAATCCTCGTCGCCAATTGTTATGATTGTCAGGTGGTTGAGTGAAACAATGGAGTTTAATTCTAACCCAAAGTTAACCTTTATTTAAAAACAATAATTAATAATAAAACAAATAACAAATTAATTTAAAATAGTTACCGCGTATACGACTGTGTGATGTTTATTAGACGACTTAACAATGTACAATAAACATAACAAAAAGTAATAGCGGCAAACTATGTATGTATGACAATATAAAAGTATGTATATAAGACAATATAAAAACGGCAGTTATAATTTTAGTACAGAGAACATAGAAGTTGCTTATTTGGGGTTGCCAACAGCTTTATTTCAAATTACTATCTTTACTTGCAGTTTTGTCTCGGCGTAAAATCTTCTCTAGCCTCTTCTTATTAGATGTAGTTTAGGATATGTGCAAGGAAAAATATATAAAATATATAGGTATAGGACTTACCTGGCTATTTCTCCTGTGATCTATTGCTCTTCCATCACCAGTTCTGAAAATAGCCAGCTGTACGGAAAACAACATTTTTTTTTAATATTTTCTTTCAAACATCTATAACACTTATTTAATTTGTTTTTCTTGAACAACACTTACGTTTTATTTTATCTCTTATTGTTAATACACAAAATTAGTTATTTATTCACTAGCACTTTATTTTGGGTTTGATGGTTGTCTTTTCAGTTTAATTAATTGTCTTTTGGATAATATTTAAAATTCTCAAATTGTTTGACTATTTAAAATATTAAAATTTTCTTTTTGTAAAATTAAAATTTTTCTTGAAATTTACTTTCTTACACTTGCACTTTTCTACACCTTTTAAGCTTGTCTACCTAACCAATACTTCTTTTATACCACTGACAGCTTAATTACTGACAATATTTTGCCGGTATTAGTTCCCGCCGATATTTTCTATATATATATTACCATATTTGGAATTTTTTTTTATTTATTTATTTGTAAATTTGCCCGCGTACATATACTTCTCCTATTTATTACATCTCTCCCATAGGTTTGTATGGTTGTGGCCCCTTGACCTTTCCCGCGAATTGGATTCTAAATATATATAAAAGAAAATAAATAATATACATAATTTGTTTAAGCGCAATAAAAAATAACTTTACTTCTTGCGGACTTTATTTGTTTAAACAAAATAAATTAACAAATTATGCGTTACTCCTCTATATCAATCTCCTACAATACCAGGCGTTCAGCAATTTTAGCAACATACAAAATTTCATTCATAATTTTCTATTTTAAAATTTTGATTTTCAAAATTAGTTACTTTTGAATGAAAACTGCAACCCTGCATATATTTTCTACTTAAGTGCATTGCCACTACTATGCTTACTAAACACAGCTTCTCTACGACTTATACTCAAACAGCTGTTATTTACATACACATGGCGTATAATTCAATGGATGATGATGGTAAGTAGTACGACTAATTTTAATATTTATCTTTTATTTTTTTATTTTCAGGAATCTAGGACAATCTTTGGACATGGAGATGGGGTAATTATGTATTGTTCCAATTGTTTTTTTTTCTTACTTTTATTGCTATGTATTCTTTTTTCTTTTCAGGTACAAAATATAAACAAAAAAACAACCAACAAAATTAAATCCACCGAGATTGGGCTGGAGGAGTGGTGCCTTCAACTACATTTTATTAGCCCAATCTCATAATAACAAATCCACCGGGAGTGGGCAGGAGTGGTGGCACCATACGCAATTAGTAGCCCCTCCCTATTACCAAAAAAAATAAATAAATCCACCGAGATTGAGCTGGAGGAGTGGTGGCTCCAACTGCAATTAGTTGCTCAATCTCAATTGCGAAAGAAATCCACCGGGAGTGGGCAGGAGTGGTGGCTCCATACGCAATTAGTAGCCCCTCCCTATTTAAAATACTAATTTTGGTAAAAAAGAGGTTTTAGGAGTAGACGACCTCTTCCCAAACAGTGATTTGCCCGTCCCCCCACGCAAAAATTTTTTTTGAGTCAGAGGCGTGTTTTAGGGGGTTTTTTGGAGCCAGTGGCGCAGCCAGGAGGCTTAAGGCCCTCTTACACGCAACAAAACTCCGATGTCTAACAACACAGTTGAAGAGAGCGGTGTGCGGGTAAGTTTTAATTCTTTTTAGAAACCCAACGTGGGGAACTCCCACACCCTGAAGATTCTCTAGCCGGGCACTACTATTCACAGCTGGAAAAGACTCGGCTTGAAATTTTCGAATGTGCGATTCTTCAAAATCATTCTCTGAATTTTAATTCTAAAGCTTAACTATTTGGATTTGCATTCGATTGAATGCAAACAAAATTAATTTAACATTCTATAGGAATTAATTCTTCCGGGAATCAATTCACTTAAATCGAAAGCTTTGGTGGAATTAAATATCAGGGAATGAATTTGAAAAATTATGAATTCTTTAAAATATAGTTCAAATTAAAAAAAAAAAAAAAAAAAAATCAGGAATGAATTCTTTTATAACTTCCTCCGATATTTTGGTGACCTGTTGGTGATTTTACTATATATCTATCTGGTATATGTACACGAAAAAAAAAATTTTTTTTTATATATTTCTATAACCGATGTTAGGTGAATCAAGTACAATGTGTTCTATTAATGAGTATCATTGTCGTATTAAAGAATAATATTTCTTTGGTCATAATGATATATTCTTAAGTTGGTCAATATTAGGACGAAAACAAACAAACAAAAAAATATAATTTGATCAAATAATTACAAAGTTTTCTAAACCTAATATTGCATTTTTTTAAAACTAATATCACAGATGACCTAAAACTATTATTGCACTTAAAACGACACAGATTGCATTAATATTGCACCTTGGATTCGGATACTTCCCATTAGCGGAATTTAGGACTTGAACACCAGGTTCGAAGAAAAAAATATAATCACTAACTTCTTTCATCAAATTTAAAATCATTTTAAATTACATTTCAGAATCATCACAACATTACCTACTGGAAATACCTCTACACTCTTCGTTACCTCTTCGAGTTTTCTTTCCTATTATACCTGGTCACAGTCTTCGAAAGACTTTCATAAAGAAGGTATTCGAGACATTTCTTATCCTTTTCCAGGAAATCATTTTACGGGAAGTAGCATAAACATACAAATAATAATTATTTTTCCAAAAACTCCATTCTTCACGGTAATGATATTTTCCAATTAATTGACGTCCCAGTGAACAATGACAATATCAAGTTAATTATAAATTTTGTAAAACATTCTAATCTTTATAATTCCATATAATTTCCTCTAATCTCGGTAAGCTTAAGGCCCTTGTTGTCATAGCTTTTATTATTATTGTACTAATAATTAATTTATAAGTATGATATGTAAATAAATAAATAAAATAAAATAAAATAATTATTTTACCTTGTTAAAATTTTGTTTATTTTCTTTCTACATACAGATACATCACCAACGTAAACCTGACGTGGACTTGTATACAGAAGGATTCAAATACTTTATCCGACAAAAATTTTGGACAACATTAAAAAACCAATTTGTTATAGATCACATTTAAGGTAAGTCAAGTTGTTTTGTTTATGTTAAAGGTTATTAGGGATTATGAAAGGTATTAGGGATATTTTGAGACAAAACTATGTAAATATTGCACGATTTTTATTTGTTTTACATTTTTATATCTTGGGCATGATAGATACCGATTGGATTACCCTGTAACGTTTCCAATTCACGGGTTTTACTACCCTACATTTTAGAAACTTTTTGCAGAATTTGGCATTTATATTTTTACTAAAATTGCTTAGCACAGTATTTCTCCGGTAAACTTCTTGACCGGGTACCAATCTAATAAAACGTGCTCCTCGATTGTATCTTTCCGCGCTCTTTTCCTGCGCTTTTTGTATATTTTGTTTCATCTTCTCCCTTATAATTTCTAACTTGTCATTTCGATTTATTTCCAAGATTTCATGATCGCTCAAAGATTGCAATTTCCTCCCCAATTTATAATCGGCTCCACTAGTGTACATGTGAAACCCAAAAAGTGCGAAAAAGGGGTTACACCTGTGGCTGTGTGTACGGACGTTCTGAGTGCACACTCAATTTCGGAAAGGTACATGTCCCAGTCCCGATGGTCTTTCTCTAAATATGCTCTTATAGCAGACAACACTGATTGATTTACTCGTTCACTCGCATTGCTTTGAGGTGAATACACAGCGGTTCTTAAATGTTGTATTTTATAGGTTTTTAATAAATTCTCAAAGCCTTTAGACACAAACTGACTGCCATTATCGCTATGTATTACCTCAGGCACTCCGAATTTATGGAAGATTTCGTGAACGAGAAAATCAATAACATTATTGGTTGTCGCTTCTTTCATCGCTTTTAAGAACATGAACTTAGTAAAATGATCAACGACAATGAAGATATGACTATTTCCCTTTCTCGAGCGAGGATATTTACCCATGAAATCTATATACAATTTCTGGAAATGGTCTTTCCGTTATGACCGGTTTTCCCATTTCGGGTCTCAGATTGAGGTTGCAAGGTTTTGATTCCTTACAGACTATACAATTACCTACAAAGTTGTTTACTTGAACTGCCATTTTTGGCCAATAAAAAGTTCGTCTCAATCTCTCAAGTGTCTTTGCTACACCCCCGTGAGCTGTTGTTAATGCCGAGTGAGCATGTTCAATTAATTGGTGTGTAATCATCACTGGAATCCATAATTTCCATTTGATCAAAACCAATCTTTTTGTATATTAAACCCTCTTCAACTTTTATATCAGGCAATTTGCCTCTATTTTCCTGTACATGTTTCACCAAATCTACATTGAAAATAATCCATGCTTAACTTTACGAAAAAAATTTCGTAACTACTTTTTTCGTAATATATACGAAAATTTCGTGTATAATACGAAATATTGTTTAATCAACCCCTTTTCTAATTTTACGAAAGTACGAAACCCTGTCGTAATATCTTTTTTCGTATATATTAAGAAACTTTGTTTTCTTTTACAAAAATAATTTCGTTAAGACATGTAATATTTAACGAAAGTAACGAATTTTTTTCGTAACAAAATTAATTAGTAATATACAAGAATTATTTTTGATTTCACAAAAAAAAAAAAATATTTTGTTACGAATTTTTTTTTTCGTAATTTTAAGCGAGTTAAATTAAACGTAATTTTAAATTAGGCAGCTAATTTCCTGCAAAATTTTTTATGTTTTTTTAAAAAACATAATTTTTTTTTTAATGCACAATCTTTTTCTAAATTAATAATAATTATTTTAAAAGAACAACATATTTGTCTTTAAAAAATCGTAAAATGAAATTTTTTTTTTTCTAAAATTATATAAAATTATTTTGCATTTTACTAAAATATTTCGTACAATTTCGTATATATTACGAAAGAATTTCGTGGTGCGAGACCACGAATCATTTTGTACAATGTACAACATATTTCGTGTATATTAGGCATGGATTATTTTCAGTGTACATATTCTTCACTTTCGAATTCATTCGTTTCAAAACCTAAATTTTCTGTTAAATTGAGCTCATCAACATTTGGTAATCTTGATAGCATATCGGCAACTATGTTTTCTGAACCTTTTTCTATGTTTTATATCAAAATCAAATGCTTGTAGTTTAAGAGACCACCTAGCTAACCTTCCTGTTAAGTCCTTTAAGGTCATTAACCACTTAAGGCTAGCGTGATCAGTGACGATGGTGAAAGGCATCATCTCCACGTATTGCCTGAACTTTTCGACAGCCATTACCGCAGCATAGCATTCCTTTTCGGTAACGCTATAATTTCTTTGGCACGAATTTAACTTTTGGGAAAAGAATGCAATGGGATGTTCCTCATTTTCCCCGAATATCTGGTACAAAACAGCACCGATATCATATTCGCAAGCATCGCATTGCACATAGAACCTCTTAGTGAAGTCCGGGTGACGAAGCACTGGTGCTGAGGTCAGAGCCTTTTTCAAGTTTTCAAATGCAACTATAGCTTCTGGGGTCATTTCGAACTTTTTTGATTTTTTTAAGGTATCTGTAAGCGGTGCAGATATAACTGAGAAATTTTTAATGAATCTGCGGTACCATCCTGCAGTACCCAGAAAACTTCTCACTTCTCTCACAGATTTCGGTATTTTTATTTCCCTGATTGCCTTGACTTTATCGGGGTCGGTTTTAAGCATGCCTCCACCTACGATGAATCCTAAGTATTTCAATTGCTCGAAACAAAATTGGGACTTCTTTAAGCTTATTGTTAAGTTGGCTTTTCTCAGACAATTAGCCACTTCTTCCAGTAATTGTAAATGTTTATCAAAGTCATTCGAAATTATTAACAAGTCGTCAAGATAGATAAAAAGTTTGTGGTATAACCTTGTCCATCAACCTACATAAACGCTGGGCCGTGTTACAGAGACCAAAGGGCATAACCCGAAATTGATATAGCGGTCTCCCTGCAACGGTAAACGCAGTATACGGTCTACTTTCTGGGTCGAGTTCTATTTGCCAGAAAGCGAATTTAAGATCAACGCTACTTATAAAATACGTCTCATCGATCCTACTTAAAATACCGTTTATATTTTGTAAGGGATACGCGTCCTTAATAGTTAATTTATTAAGTTTTCTCGCGTCCAAACAAAATCTATTTTTACCAGGTTTCCTTACGATTGTGGTTCTGTTACTCCACGGACTCTCGCTTATCTCTATCACATTTAATTCTAACATGTTATCAATTTCCTTATAAATAATATCTTGAACTGCTGGTGAAATAGGATAGTGACGATCCTTGATCGGTTCGGCACCATTTATTAGCTTAATCGTGTGCTTTTCTAAATTCGTTTTTCCCAATCCTTTTTCTTCAAACGTATCAAATTTAGCAATTACCTCATCTAATCTACGTCTCTGTTCATCATTTAGTTCGTGAGGTCCTATTCTATAATTATCTCTATCCTGCGCAAAATCTTCTAAAACTTTATCTATGGCTATTTCATCTACGCCTAAAACTTCTGGAGCTAAATTAAAAGTACGCCAAAAATCTATTCCTAGGTATAAATGTTGTTCCAAATCAGGACAAAGATATAGAATTATATTATCTTTCTTATCTTTATACTTTATGGATAGATTTACTTTACCTAATATTCTATGGTGTTGACCACTTGCAGTCTTCACATTGGAGAATATTGGTATTATTTTTAAACCTAATTCTTCTACTAGTTCTCTACATCCTTTTCCTAATAAGCTCACAGATGCTCCACTATCTAATAATCCTAATATTTCTTTTCCTTCTAATTCTACTTTTACATAAACACGACTATCTTTTAATTTATCTATCCTAATTACAGAATCCACAATCATTCTTTTACATTCCTGTTTCCTTTTGTACTTTTCTCTAATCTTTACAATTCTTTGTGACAAAGGTTTTCGAAGTTTTTCGGTGTTAAATATTTGTGCTCTCACGTAATCATAATAGTCTTGTCTAGTTTTTATCGGTAATTTGTGTCTTATTTTAGGCATATCTTTCGCTATTTGTTCCCAACTTTCTAAATTTTCATTATCTTTATCTGTTGGAGGACTGTCTAATTTTCTTTGTTGGGATTTTTGGATGGACGTAGGTCCCCAGTCATTCCCACGCCCCGTTTCAAGTTTCCCTGGCAAATTGGGCAGTTTGGAGTTATAACGTTTGGTTTCCCACAACGGTAACAAAACAGTGCCCTTTCTGTTGAAGGACATTCCATAAAAACGTGTCCTGGCACTTTACAGTTCCAACACACCAGATTAGATTTTTGTTGATTTAATTGTATCGCAGAAACTTCTAAATCCTCAGTTATACCCCCTTCCAAGTTTGTGTATTCAGTATGCTCTAAATATACCTCGCTTACAGGTCTAGATGATCTTGTTGGTGGCTGTAAATTTCGACTATCCCAACGGGAAAAATTTCTTTCGGCCTCATTGCATTCGATTCTAAGTTGTTCTACAGATGAAACCGGAATTGGGTACACTATCCTAGCGACTCTTTCTTTAACGTTGCGTTTCAAAATCTTAATCATGTCGTACTCCGGTATGGACTGAACCAATTTAGCGCGTATTTGATTCATAGCGTGAAAGAATTGATCTATAGACTCATTAAAGTTTTGTCTTCTTTCCACTAGATCACGCATTATCTCGAAGTTTGACCTAGATGTTTGGTACTGACTCAGCAATGCTTGCCATTTAACACCGAAATGAGTTTGGACGAATAACCAGTACCAATCCTTGGCTGGACC